TAGATAGATAGATAGATAGATAGATAGATAGATAGATAGATAGATAGATAGATAGATAGATAGATAGATAGATAGATAGATAGATAGATAGATCAATCTACATTGAACTTGTTTATCAGCACCACACCAACATTTATAACCAGCCAAGATTACAAAAGTCACTGATTCTGTTATTTGTTGCAGATTCTGCTCCCAGCTTGTTCAAGCTGACCCACTGAAGGCACGGGGCAAAAATGGGGTGGACCTCTATTGACCCAATTGTTCCTGCTGTTTGTGCGTAATGTATGGTCCAGTTTTCCTTCAGTTTTCCTTCACATAGCAGGTTACTCATAGCAAACAAGCATATTTTTACAAAAGCCCCAGAAATCGAAGGTTCTATTTACCTGAATTTTACTCGAGTCAAAGTATTCTGTGTATGGCTTTGTTTATGATAATTTGACCACATATCTGTTTATGGAATAGGCACCCTGCAAAATAATCATGTAGAACAGAATCGCTAAAGCCTTTATCAAACTATAATGCAATGCAGCAAACTCTGGTTGTCTGGGGCCATTGTTTACCTAAAGCTTTTGTTTGGCATTTTTCATATACTTCTATCTAAGAATGACACTAAGCATCAGCTTAGGTCCACAAAGCAATTTGAAAAGACATTTCAAACCACAGAAGTGTTTTATTTAGTATTTATGTTTGGATTACGGCTTTGCTACACTTCATTTCACACAAAAGCTCCGCTGAAAAGCGAGAATCCCATTCTCAACAGAGGAGACGAAGAAAATCTGCCCCCTCTATCTGACATGCAGTCTAGTTAGCAACACCTTTGTTCATTATTTGTGCAGTGCAGTGCCGCTGTTGTTAGTGATTGAAGGAGAGCTGCACAAACACAGAATGAGAAAGTTAAAGCTCATCAATAAAAGAACAGAGAAGGGAGTCTCTGTTGTCTGATGCCCTCTTGCCGGTGTGGGATTGTTTACATAACATTAGCACCACTTTATTTTGCACGCTCTCAACACCTCTGACTATTTTCCTTTTTTGTCTCTGCTCGTACGGGCTCTGAATTCTAATGTGATCTGGCCCAATTATTCAAAATAGTTCAAGCTGAGTTTTTTATTTAGTCTATATTTTATTTACAGGATTATCAGTCATTATGATTTGAATGAAAAAACATCAAATTAGCAGCTGTCTTGTATGAAAGCTGATGCTATGACCACAGAAGCTCCAGTCAACATATGTATCTGTTCAATTTACCAGAGATAAAAAGGCTGTTTGTGGCACTGGTGGTCTGTATAATGCAGATGTTTAGAGGAAATTCGACATAATTCATTATAATTTTCAGTCTGACACATATAAAGTAAGAAAAAGAACACATCTGAGTATATTTGCATGGCTGTCTAAGGTCAGCGAGAGTGAGAAAGAGAGAAACAATGATCGTAAATTTTTCATCTTGTGTGCATACAACACAGTATACGTGCTCAGTTCAAATATGAATCATATACTATTTGCTGCACAGGGGTATAAAATCTTAAATGGATCACAAGTCCTAATCCTCAAAGCTTTCCACACGGGAGACCTTTATCTCACTAACTATGCACTGATTACGCTGAAGTCTTTGATGCCATGCTGCCTTACCCCGAAAAGCTCAGGAAATTGATTTTAGTTCTTGTACATTTTATTTGCCTTTTATTTTTTCACAAGAGATGAGTCATTTCTCCAGGACAATGCAACAAGCACTACTATTTTACTCCATACATCTACAAAAATAAAATGTACAAATTCTTTTTTTCCCCCGCTCATTTCTTTAGTTTTTCCACAGATACAACAACAGGCGATTAAATTGCTCTTTTCTTTTATGATATTTTAAATAAAGCAAAAACTTCTAAGCATCACTGTCCTGCTTTTTTAAAATTAATTGTTTTGATTTCATTTGTTCCATTGATTATACTCATGAAAGAATTACACACTTGCACCAGTAAACAAACACAAACACAGTAATTTACCGGTATGCATAAAAAAAAAAAATCACGCCTGAGTGCTGCAACTATTTGAATCTCACTTTGGATTAACAGCTATACATGTCCATGACACGAGAGCAGTACTGCTCGACAGAAGCGGGGAGACTGAAACAATGAACAACTGTAACAACAGAAATATGTGTTGCAGAGGAAATCTTGAGAAACACAGTAGAAGTGAGGCACATCCTACCGTGCAGTACATATAATTCTGCATTTTTTTTGGGTTTTTTTGTTTTAAAGAAATGCAATTTTCCGCATCAAAAGCGTAGGTGAGAAATATGCCCTCTTGGTAAACAGATCAATAGTACTGGAGGTGGAATGTTTCGAGTTCCCCAATCATCCCAGTCAGACATCCATTTGGACCAACACCAAAACAGGTGGTGCCTCAGCCACTTTGGCCTTGCGACGCAGCAGATGAGTCAGGCTCCTGAAAGATGGCGTGGCGTGCAGGAGAAGTTCCTTGAGGCCTGCCCGAAACTCCCGGCGGATCAGGCAGTAGAGCACAGGGTTGAGGCAGCTGTTGGTGTGCGCCAAGCAAACAGTCAGAGGGAAAGCGTAGGCCTGTGCATTGTAGAAAGCTTTGCTGAAGGGCACAAGGTCAAACTTTATGAGGACACCCCACAGTGTCAGTGCCTGATTAGGAAGCCAGCAGAGAAAGAAGGAGAGAACTACGATGACAATGGATTTAGTCACTTTGGAATGACGCTTTTGCCGGCTTTGGTTTGCCTCTGGGCCCGCTGCACCTGCAATGCGCCGGCTTAGGATGAAGCGAAGCAGCAGCAGATAGCAGACGGTGATTATAACTAGAGGAATAAGGAAACCTACTAGGACCTTTTGAAGCTGATATAGACCCAGAAGGAGCTGTGGATCCCAACTGCCAGAGTCTGGGAAGCGCACCAGGCAAAGTTCCTCATCAGATACTTGGGCACTGGTGGAGTAGATGGCATGAGGCAAAGTGGCCAGCAAAGAAACAGCCCAGATGCAAAGGCTTGTCCACCTGGCTCTGGCAGCTGCTGTCCGTCGGCTGTGTATCTTCAGTGCGGAGGAGATGGAGTAATAACGTGCCACGCTCATAGCTGTGAGGAAGAATACACTGGCATACATGTTCATGGTGGTGACAGAGCTGATGAGTTTGCACATCACACGCCCAAACGGCCAGCGGAAGTCCAGGGCTGTGTCCACTGCCCAGAAAGGCAAGGTCAAAACAAACTGTAGATCTGTGATAGCCAGCCCCATCACAAAGCAGTTGATGGACGACTGCTTCTGCCTGTAACGGGAGTGCAACAGATACAGAGCCAGTGAATTCCCCACCAGCCCCAGAGCGCAGACGATAGAGTAGACACAAGCTATCATCACACGTACCACTACGCTGGAGCTGTCTCCTTGAATTTCCATGATAGATTCCTTGGTGAGGAGCTGCAGCCAGCAGTGCAGTGACATGTTAGTGGTGGAACCTTCGCTGCAGTTCCCATTGTAGTCGTCCTGTAGTATTTGTTGTTGACATGACTCGGGTGACACCGTTTGAACTCCAGACTCATTCAGCTGCATGGTTGGCCCCTCCTTCTCACATATCATCTCGTAGGGCAAAGTTGAAGAGCTGCCGTGTCTTCAGAACACAGAGAAAAAAGTTTGTGCAGATGGCATTTGCAGCATTTCTGTTGCATGTGTCATCAGATTATCTCCCATGGCGCTGTAGATGCCATCCTCTGCCGCCGTTATTCTCTCCTCATTTCTCCACACACTACTCACAGCTCTCTGCGCGCCACGTCCGTTTATAGGTTTCGCGTGAACGCGCAAAGCTCTGCCCCGCCGTTGACGCTCTTCACCTCACCAAGAGGATGATAGGACCAGAGCGAATCCGCGCTCTTACAGCCGCAGCCACATCAAAGTCTCCCAGAATGTCCGTCAGCGCTGCGTCTTAATGTATTTTGACAGGACAGTGGCACATCCATAATCTTGTTTGTACAGTGTCACCTGTGAACAGGAGCTTTTGGAGACCTGGAGACAGTGTGCGCATAAAATATGCACAGAGCGGACTGACTGTACACGGCGCTGTATTTGACGTGATCGTTCGGGACGTTTGTTGAGGAGCTGAAGGACAAGGATCAAGGACACAGCATCACCTTTATGTTTCTGATTAGCATCAAAGACGAATTTAAAGGCGGTGAAACCACGTGTACCCGTGTAACGTTTATTATTATGCCAGCAGCTAAGAAATATTAGCCTGAAATAATACTACCTAGAAGTTCCGAAGTCGTATAAGCGCGTTAATCACAGACTTATGATTGAACTTTGTTAGGGACACTTCGTCACCTCCTCCTCCAAGCGAATATCTAATCAGCCAATCACACAGTAGCATCTCACCTGTCGTTTAGACATATACAGTTCTGTGCAAAAATCTCAAACCACCCCTCAATTCTTTATATTTTGCTTCCCATAAAGTAATTTCAAAAAGTCGTCTTGAGCAACCCCCTAAGCCCACAAAAAGAAAAAACAAACAACAACAAAAAAGAGATTTTCTTTCAACACTGACTTTTTCATTTATTTGTAGTGCTGACCATTTGAGAGGATTTTTAATATTTGTTTGTTATGAAACTTAACACTGACTTATGAATCACTAAAGCACAGAAAATGCACTGGGGCGATCAAAGGGAGGAACAGTTCCCCTTGAAAACAAAAATAACTAAATAAAAAGGTCTAAACTACACAGGTTAAGTGGCAGACCTCAAATGAAGAACAAAGCGGATAAACAGTATCTGATTGGCCAGTCCTCCACAAACAGGAAAAAATCCAATCCTGACACACGATTTGAGAGTACCGGTTTCATTGAGAGATGAATTCAGATGTGAACTTTTTGCTTCAAATTGTCATTGAAATTTACAATGGAGGTCAAAAGAGGTACAACGGTGAGTGTTTACAGCCATCCATACATCAGTGCCAGTTTTTAAGTCCTGATTAAAAACCTATTTTTACTCCCTGGCTTGTGGGTAACTGACATTTTTATTGCTATGTCTGGTTTTTGCTATTTTATTCCTATATTTACATTTGTATTGTACAGCACTTTGGTGTTTTTAAAGTGCTATATAAATAAACGATGATGATGATGATCCGTAAAACATGGAGGCTCTGCCATGGTTTCGGGCTGCAGTTTAGCCAGTGGTTTTAGGGATCTTATCAAAACTGATGGAATTATGATAACAAAACAGTACCATCAGATTTTGATCCACCATACAATGTCACTTGGAAACATGTGATTGGTAGACACTTTATGTCTTTATGGTCCCAAACACACAGCTTATCCCCCAGAAGGGGGAAGAAAGATGATGTAAGTGACTCTGAACATGGCATGGTTGCTGGTAGTTTGAGTTTTCAGAAACTGCTGATCCACATTGGTCTTCCCACATAACCATCTCTAAGGTTTCCCCCTCAAAAAAAAGAAAGAATATTCAGTGAGCAGCAGTTGTCTGGGTGAAAATGCCTTATTGATTGCCACAGGCCAGACTCTACATTTGTCACTCTTATCACAATCAAGGTAAGCAGAAGAGCATGTTTAAATGCACAGTATATTAAACCTTGGGGCTTATGGGGTATAGCAGCAGGGAACCATACCAGGTACCAGTCCTGTCAGCTAGGAACAGGAAACTGGGGCTACAGGAAACTTGCATGGTGTCCAGTCAGTGTAAAACAACTTCGAGTATAGAAGTAGTTTAATTTGCATGATATTGTGAGGGTTCTGAATCTGTGGTTTTGTCTCACATTATTAACTCCAATAATGCGCTGCAGAGCTACTTTGATCAAATGTAACTTTTTTTCTTTTCTCATTAACTGAGAGGACTCTAACACAAACTATATTACCAGTGTTTTACTCTGTTTCCTTGAGTTTTTGAGGAGCATTTCCTGTGTCTGGAAGTAATCCCTCCCTGTAATTTTCTGAAGAAATTAAAAAGACAAGACAAGATGAAAAAAAATAATAATCTGCACACTTTTAATCCGTTGGAACTCACTTCTTGTCATCTTAACAATCCTTAAACCTCCAAATGCGTAGGCACTGACAGTGTGACTGGTTTAATGTTTAAAGCATTTAAATCTGTAATGAAGAACACTGGGCTTCTCTGTGAACCACAGATATTTCACAGGTTGCACACCAAAACACTTTCCATGCAACCTGTTCTTGCTTTTGTCACATACTGATCTGTGGTCAGGACTCCTGCACTGGGTACGCTTTTAGTGTCATGCGTGTCAGGATGCAGCGTAGTCTAATATTCTCATAGATACAACTGCCTCAACATTTTCAACAGACCATGAGACTGAGGTACGTGTGCTCTGCTACTGTTATAGTCAGGAAAGGGCAGAGACATTTCTGTAGAGAACCTTGGTTTAACATGATGAAAGGAGACTGAAACGCCTGTGTTCTTGATAAAAGGGATTTCATGTTCAACGCTCCACCTGCACAGATATTTTGGGTGTTGACCATGTTTCACAGTGTGCCATGTTATGACTGATGGTGTGTTGTTTCATCATCATATTGCTGCGAAACACCTTTCATTACGGCTGTAATAGAAACGCGGAAAGGCCAAGAATAATTATATGGTGTTAAAGCAAAGTAAACTGCTTTGGATATCAGAGAATAAATTAAGTCTCTAATTTATGCTTCTTGCCATAAAACCTAAATGTCCAAAGGGCGAGGAGTGACCCAACATCTGCATCCAGAAAAGCAGTTTACAGTGACATACAGATCATGTGAAAGTTTAGTTACCCACTGAAACGGACAAGCTTTGTTT